GTGTCTTGTGTGGGTTTGATTTCCCATTGTCTAGGGAACAGCCAGAAAGAGGTTTGGGGGTGACTACACGGGTATTTAGCCTTGTATTTGATCTGTCTGAGGGGTGGGCTGGTTTGCTCCTAAAGCTGGCAATCAGACAACATATCTGCTGGAGCAAATCAGCCTGCCTCCAAAGTGTTTCTACCTTCCCCTTTCTGGCCCCTGTCAAGGGTTTCTACTTTTTGGTGCAGGTAGGTAAAGGTAAAAGTAAAGGTTCACCTTGACATTTCGTCCAGTCGTATCTCACTCTAGGCCATGGTGCTCATCCCCGTTTCCAAGCCACAGAGCCAGCGTTTGTCCATAGACAGTTTCTGTGGCCACGTGGCCAGCACGACTAGACACAGAATACCGTTACCTTCCCACAGTGGTGGTACCTATTTATCTACTTGCATTTTTACATGCTTTCGAACTGCTAGGTTGGCAGGAGCTGGGACAAGCGATGGGAGCTTACTCCATCGCGTGGATTCATTCTTTCGACTGCTGGTCTTCCGACCTTGCAGCATAGAGGCTTCTGCAGTTTAACCCGCAGTGCCACCACATCCCTAGTAGGTGGTGCAGGTAGGCTTGTTGTATTTTTGGTTCATTTCCAGTGCATGTGATCACTGGAAATGAACCAAAGCGAATGAGCAAACTGAAGGCTTCAGCTTCCTGCTTCAATTTGTCTGCTGGTTTCAATTTCCTTGTATAATAAGTGGTTTAAACAAACAGTTCAGCCACTTGTAGCTAAGGGAAGAAGGAAAACAAAATTTGAAAGCCAGTTAGGGCAGTACTGGTGTGCTGTTCCTTTTTGAGATTTTTTTTTAAAATGGAGGCTTGCTCTTGGAAGTGGGAGGAGACAGGCAGAAGCAAGGTGAGGTATTTTATCTTTTCTTTAGAGTGTCTGTCCCTAGCAAAGCAAATTGGCTTCTCAGGCTATAATGTAAAGACAAAAGAACCCATTTTGTCTCTTACTGTCTCCTTCCTCTTCCAGGAAGAACCCTCCCCGCCTGCCCTCTCTAAAAGGTACAGTGGGCCACATATGGTCACTATGCCATATGGATGCAAAGCTTGCACCACATGGCATCCAGGATTGCCACCCAACCTAAAGTGACCCTCTTTGGCCTACACCAACCAAGTTGTGTAGCCAAGTTAATGGTTTGCAGAAAAGACGTCTTGTTTGAGGAGAGTTCCTAAACTTCTCTTCCACTTGTGGTAAAGCTGTCACTTCTGCTGTTGAAACCACTTGTTTCTTTCGCCCTGTGAAGGAAGAAATTGCCCACGTTCACGTCTTCATTCAAAAGGGTGACAGTGTGAGCTTTGAGGGCCGGAAGAAGGTGCTGATGAGATATGCACATCCAAAGGTTTTTATAAAACCAAGCAAGCCCTTTTATAAACCTGGAGAAACAGGTAAGCCTGTGTGTAGCGGAACCCAAAAGAGAACGGTACCTGTTCTGATGATGTAAAATAAGATAAGGGCAATGGGAGAAAGAACGGTAAGACGTGCAATGCTGAATTGGGGTTGAAATTTCCAGATCTCTCTGGACATAAAGGAGAACTGCCAGTAGTAGATACTGTTGAATTAGAACTCAGGAGACCTGGGTTCAGTTCCTGCTCAGCCATGGCAACACACTGGGAGGTGGCAATGGTAAAACGATCCCTTAAGCATCTTATATACTTTGAAAACCCTGTTAAGGGTTACCATATCAGATGCAATTGGATGGCACATAAACCAGTAAGTTGAACTGAACAAAAATTTCTTTCAAAAACACATAGAAGTAAAACAAGGCTTGGGGGAAGCTGTTGTGTTTACTGACATTTCAAAATATAGCAGCATGAAATGGAGAATGATGATGGAATAAAACGGTGGGATGGTCCTTCTTGCCTCTGCCTCTCTGGCGAAAGAGGCCGTCTCTTTTTAAAAAGGATCAGTAATACATTTCTCTTTTGCCTTTTCAGCTAAGTTTCGCATAGTGAGGCTTAATGGAGAATTTAAAGCTGTTGGCGAAACAGTGAGTATTATTTTTTTATTGTGTGGAAACAACGGCTGAATGTACTTCATTCTGTCTACAGTGAAACACCTCTGAGACCCAAGAGGGTCTCTCTCATTGCACATTTTAAAAGCATGGATCGGAATCCTGGTGCATAGCTCCACATGTGTAAGGGGAGTGATGTTACTGGCTGTGTCAGGTTGCTGCTAGTTTATTTAATTTATTCAATTTATTCATTGCATTCTGACCAGCAAACAGCAATTAAAAGACATAATAACCAACCCACCAGCATATACACCCAATTAAAGTGCCAACGAAAAGACTCCAGAGGCAACAGCAAATAAAACTTATTTAAAAACAGATGGATCTATGAAAATATTAAAGAGAGGGAAATGTTACCGAAAGCCCCTTTTGAAATGCTGAGCTTTCACCCATTCCTTGAAGGTCGAAAGGGACGGACGCTGGCAAACGTTGACAGGCAATGCATTTCATTGTGGCCACCACCGAGAAGGTTGTTTTCTGGGCATCTCTATAGGGGCGACCACCTGCAAACACAAAGCCTGTATAGATCAGGTAGGCAATCTTAAGGAGAAATGCTCTAACAGATAATGAGGCCTCAAACCATAAAGGGCTTCATAGGATAACACTAGCACTTTGAACTTGGCATTGAAGCAAACAGGCAACCAATGCACGCGAGCCAGGATTGGGGAGATACGATCGTGTTTCTCTCCTCCCCACACCCCCTGATACTATCCTGGCTGCCACATTTTGTACCTGTTGAAGCTTCTGTGTTGCCTTCAAAGGCAGCCCCATGTAGAAAGCATTGCAGTAATAGATCCTAGAGGTTACCAACACGTGGACCAGTGTGATTAGGAAGTTCCTGTCCAGAAAGGGCAGCAACTGTGCAATCTGCCTAAGATGAAGAAAGGCAGACTTGACTACGGCAGATCTTTATTTTGCCCTGGTGAAAGCTGTATCCAGCAACACCCTCAAGTTGTGGACCTGGTCCTTTAAGGAGAGTGTGACCCCTTCAAGGCTAGGCAAAGTACCTTTTAATTGGGCAGGCTCCCCTCCCAAGAACACAATCCCTGTCTTATCTGGATTTAGTTTCAATCTGTTAGCCCTCATCCACAAGTTCAGGCATCACTCCAAGGTCTGCACAGCGTCTGCCGATGATGATGAGAAGGAGAGATATATAGAGCTGTCTGTCATCAGCATATTGATGACAGCAAACTCCAAATCGTTGGATGACTGTCCTGAATGGCATCAAATTGGGGAGATGATTGACCTCTGTGAGTCTCCACAATGCAGAACCCCCAGAGATGAGACAATTGAGCTGCAAGTCAGTTAGCAGTATATCAGGCTGAGGACCATGAGGACCATTGGACTGTCCAGCATTTGTGAGGTCCCAGGCCACTCAACAGAGAGCGTTTTGCTGATGAGATGCCTCATTAATGAGTGAGGTATAATAGACTCTCTTAGCCAAACATATGATATTACAATATTTGCTGGACAATTTTCTTACTGCAGCTAGATTCCCATCTGAGGGAGCTTTCTTCTAGTTACTCTCTAGCCTTCTTCTCAGTTTCATGGCTTGTAACTCATCTGTAAACCAGGATGAAGAATGAGCCCTTGAATGGAAAGGGCATTTAGGAGCAATTGTGTCAATCATCCAGGCCGCCAAGGAGTACTACCTGGTGACCTGGGTTTCGACAGGAGTAATGACCAGGTCAGTTGCGAACACCCTGAAGGCCTCCTGGAACCCAGTCAGGTCCAGTAGCCTCCAGGCATGGACCATCTTAATGGATCCAACCTCCCAGCGAAGGAGGGGTATCATTATCAGATGATGATGATGACTATGAAAAAGCAGAAGTTGTTAGATCCATAACCCTTACATCATCCTCATCTCATTCAGTTGTAAGCACTAGACCAAGGGTATGTCCAGAAGAATGAGTGGAACAACAAGCAGGAGCTTACGAAAACAGACAAAAAAAATTAGTAACAATAATAACCAAGCCTAATACAAAAATGAGACATCATAATTAATAGATACCTGTACAACAAATACAAAAACAAAATACAACAATAAACACACACTAAAGAATGCAATATCAATAAAAGCAAATGAAAGAAAAAGAAAAGAAGAAGAAAAACCCTAGAAATTGAACCCATACAGCAGAATACACTCTAAGCTGGCAGATCAAACACTGTAGATGAGATAGTGGGTCTCACTCTAGTTAAAGACTTTTAAAATTTAATGTTAGGGTTTATGAAACTTTGTATCATTGTGAGCTAGTCATGCACACACTGAAAAAAAGGAGAGAACTATTCAATTAGCAACAACCTGCTACATATAGTGATTTCACTCCCATTCTGGAGACAGCTACAGTATGCAACATGATACTGACCATGGAATTGCACTCAGTAATTTGTGTAGGAAACCATTTGCATACCTTTGTTAGTTTGGATACTATTTCCATCCTATATGAACTTGATCAAAGGTTCTGTAAAATGTTACAATCTTTAAGCAAGCAAGCTGCGTTGATTACCGGTAACTCATATCAGTTCTTCAACTAGCTTTGGAGAAATGTTAGGAAAAATAGGATATTTTTCATGAAGCTGGTTTTCCTTTGTTCTCTCTCCCTCTTTTTTTTGCAGATCCCAGAGATACTGCTGATAGTAAGTAATTTAGAATGATCTTTCTCACATTATGAGCTACTCGTTCCTTTGGGGCCACCTGACTTACCTTACACTGGGAGTGAAACCCATTCAGTTATTGCAGTTGCACAATTCTAAGATCTCTGGTGTTATATCTGTTGGAGGGGTTTGGAGTTCTGTTATTCCTTTTTTTAAAAATTTATTTTGAAGAAAAGCATGAAGATACATGCCGATGTGCCGAATCACTCATGTTCTATTGGAAAAGGGGGGGAAAAGATTACTGGGTGCTTCTTCATTAAAGCAACAAAATATTTCTACATATGGTTCATGGATTTGTTCTTTTACATGTACAGTGTCTGTGTTTGGAGAAGAGAAAATAGAGAAGAGAGGAAAGGTGGCCCTCAAGGGAAGCACCAGGAAGGAAGGAAGGAGACGTTTCAGAGACTCTGAAGTGTCAACCCCCTGCTCTATGTTTAGAGGCAGATGCAGAGCACACTCCCCAAGACACCCAGAGTTTAAGAAGAAGCATGCACAACTCTAATTTTACTTTAAAGGAACGATCCTATGCAACCTGTTAGGTGACAGTGCAGGTAGAATAGCAGAGGTGCCCGCTGCAGATGGGACTGGTCCCTGTCCTGTTGCAGGAAACTGTGTTGGGTAGGGGCTGGAAGGTGTCTCAAGAGCATGTTGACAGAAACTGGCCGCTGAGAAGATGCTGGTGTGGGTGTTACAGCTGTTTTACTGGTCAGGAATCTACAAGCAAGTAGAGCTCTCCTGGGCCTCCTGTCCTGAGTGCTAGTGCACGTAGCTAAAAGCCCCAGCCAGGAGGCTCCCTATTGCTCCAGCCTTTGATTGACCAGCCCTCTGAGTGAATTAGATTTGACATCCTGTAGTAGAGCCCCTGGGGAGGTCAGCTGAAGGCCACACATATGTTGGTCATTACAGATTATGCCACCCTCTATCCTCCATTGTATTCTAAAATGTTGGCCTGCAAGTTGGTCTGAACTTCACAAGCCAACGTCATTCTAATACATCCATTCCTCTTAGGGATCTGCCCCATTAAGAAAGAGAGAGAGAGAGAGAGAGACAATAACATACCTACTGCCGTGGTTCAGTGAGTGATAGAAATGAGAGAGCACTTGTGGACAGCTTCAGGGTTGGCTAAAGAGGCTCAAAAGGTGCAAAACAGATTGTATGACCTGTGAGTACAACCTCAGGAATTTTAGATTAGGCTTCAGTCTCGAGAGACTATGGTAACGTGCTCTGAATAGAGGACTTGGAACAGCGTCTAGTGTGGCTGAGAAGGCCAATTCGAGAGTGACGATCCCTTCCACACTGAAGACAAACACAATCTGTCCCCTGTCTAGCTCCCTGGTTTTGCTGGTTTTAGGACTGCCTCTTTGCCTCGGCCTGCTGGATAAGGGTCTCTTCAAATTGGGAGAGGCCGTGATGCAATGCCTGCCTCCAGGCTGAATGCTCAGATGTCAAGGTTTCCCATTTGTTGGGGCCCATTCCTAAGGCCTTCAGATCCTGCTTGCAGATATCCTTGTATCACAGCTGTGGTATCCCTCTAGGGCGCTTTCCCTGCACTAATTCTCCATACAGGAGATCCTTTGGAATCCGACCATCAGCATTCATGCCTGAGCAAAAGGTCTTACTTCTCTGGTCTTTGGCACAGTCAAGTTGTTCACTCAGTGGGAAGGGCCACTCTAACTGGTACATCTGGTGGGCCCTGTGGATTATGAAATCCACATGCTCAACCACAGGAAGCCTCCCCAAATAATTCATATGAATTTCCTTAAGAAGTGGAAAGATTGGGAAGTCCTGTTTGGGGATGTTGAGGATGGTGTCATGGGGCCTGAGACTGATAGTCGAACAAGATAAAGGGGCAAATGCTGTCGTTGGGAAGCACCTCAGCCAGTGCCAGATA